TCAAAATCCTTTATGCAATGGCTCATCCCGAGGACAACCTCGTTCCTCATTATGGTAAATTTTTGTGCCATAAACTCATCCGCCTGAGCACATCTCGATCGGGAAGGATTTATTGCGGGGGTATTGTCAGCATGCTCGCCAAGAGCGCCCAAGTCCGAGCCCCATACCCCGGTCCCCACCAGCCACTGCCGGGTGAGCCTTATCTCACCACTGCTGTCCTTGAGTCCATGCGACTATTCCGTTCGGCAGCGGATGGCACACACCACTGGACCGTGGGTCAAAATCATGATCCAAAGCTCCTCATCACACCATAAAACAAAGGTATTCTTGATCTCCGGAACCCCATTCATATGACCGATTGGCAAATCATGCCATACATCTTCCCCCATTCATACTCCACTGAGGTAGATGAGCAAAGTGAAGAAAACGAGGAAGGCGGTGATGATGATGATGAAGAGGAGGAGGAGCCCCACCATGCTCCTCCCATCGGTGGTGCCAGCTCATCCCATTATGCTGCGCCCCCGTCTTATCATCAACAGTATATGGATGAATTCCAGTCCATCCATACCCGCCTTAACACCTACCAGCAAGATATTACAAGCCTCACTCAGAGTTTCTCTTCCTTCACCACCCAGTACGCTCGGGATCAAGAGCGTCAACGGAAACATGAGGAAGATTTTTGGGCTTCGACCCGAAATTCCGGTTATTATCCTCCTCCTCCTCCTCCTCCGTTTTAGGTTGTTCCGCCCTCTTCAAGCATCGGGGACGATGCTTATCTTTAAGCTTGGGGAGGGGTAGAGTCACATTAGGTTCATGCATCCATGCATCATAAAAAAAAAAGAAAGAAAAAAAAAGAATAAAAAAAAATGTACGAGATGATGACACTCTTTACATACAATAGCTCCATGAAGTGGGAAAACGAGAAATCAAATGAAAAAAAAACAAAATACCCGAGGCGACCGGATAGTTACCGGAAGTGTAGATTCAGCTGCCATAACTAGGGGACCCAAACACCGTAATTCGAGACCCTAGCCTTAGATAATAAAAAGAAATTATATTGAAACGTTTTTTGGGCGGTAATAACAGCTTTAAGATGATTTGCTTCTGAATGTTTAAAAAGAATCTTTATCAGCAACTCTGGACTCACAGAACACGGACCTATTTGTTGACACGCGTCACCCTCGCGGTGACAGAGAGCTTAAGTATCAGATCCACACAGTCAAGAAAGAAGGAAGGGTACAACTGTCATATCTAGTACCCAAATCAGAATTTCAAGTGCCAAAACGAAGAAATCTCAAGAAATTCCAAAAATGAAGATCGAAGAATCCAAATTCAAAACGAAGTACAAATCAAAGTTCAATCAAATGAAAAGCCAATTCAAAGTCAAATCTGGCGAATGAAGAACTGTGTGATATGATACTTGTGGCTCTCGAAAAAGTGAAAGCATAGGAGCTGGGCCCCTTCGGGTGGGCTCACTGTTTCAGCGAAAGCTGATTCGCCGTGACGGGCTCTTAAGGATGCGTCGATTCTTATTCTTGGCCATCTAGTCTTAAGGACATGAGATCCGGACTATGTTATTTTCGCCCATAAAGCTTAGTAAGGTATAAAGTTTTAATAAAACTAGGGTTGGATTATTGGGTTACATCGTTTTAGGTCTTCCTCACTTTGGGAGTCTGTGATATATGGAAGGAAGCAGGATGGTTGCCTAGGTATTAATGATTGGAGCAATACTGATGTAAAGTCTGATCGTACTTATATAGATTATTTACTTGTGCCTTAAATTTCTTTTTGATACATTTTGTTTCTTTAATGCTTCTGTACATATTTTTTTCTTTTCCTTTTTCATGGTTTGCACTGCATGCATTCATCCCTAGTCCTTAGAACCTTCCCGTTCCCTTTTGTTCTAACTTTCTTTGTGTTATCTAGAAATCGTCCTGTTTTGTCTGTTTCTTGTTCTTTCTTGAGGACAAGAAAGGTCTAAGCTTGGGGAGATTTGTTAGGTGCATTTTGTGCACCTTTTTGCACAACCTTTAGCCCTTTGTATGTATGTTTTAAGCATAATTGTTCTTTGCTTTTATTGCATTTCATCATATTTAGGTTAATTTCTGGAACAACCTTATTTGCACTCTTTAATGACATTTTCAGGTAAGCGGGAGGTTGGAGCGCGCTTTTGGAGGTGCCGGGGAGCATTGGTGAAGATTGCGGGATGATCGGGCGTAGAACGGAAGAATTGAGAAAATCAAGTTTGGACTCGGAGTCAGAGGGCAACATGGGGCGTGTTGGGTTTGGCCTAGAAATCCAACACGGGACGTGTTTGACCATTCCAGGCATTTTGACCTCACTGAACACGACCCGTGTTCATTTACTCTATATTGACACGGGGCGTGTTGGTCCAGTTGAACATTTTTTAGCATCATACTTTAGAGTTGGAATCGAGGATTGAAGGGTGTGTTTTCACTTAACACGACCCGTGTTGATTTACTCTATATCGACACGGGCCGTGTTCAACTTAAAAACTGCTTTTTGGCAGTTTTTCCCTTTTTCCTTATGTCGAGAATGGGGTCATTTTGGGGCAAGATAGAACATACCAGAGCACTTTTGGAGAGGAGAATTCAAGGGTTTTAGCAAGGGTTTGTCCGTTAATCATTGGGAAACATTTTAATTTCTTCTTTGTAAGCACTTTAGCACTTAATTTCATCTTTTAAACTTGTTAATCTTGTTCTAGCCATGTGTGGCTAGAACCCTAACTTCTCCAATTTCATGTTTTGACTTTTTGGTTGTGAATCAAATCATATGACCTGATGTTTGTGTTTAATTTCTATCTAGTGAAACTGATTTTATTTCAATCGAATGTTTGATTCTAATAATGATTCTTATTGGCCATTTGAATTAGGGTTAGGTCATTCAAGTTATTCATTTTGCAAAATCCGTAATTGTTTTGTGAATTGAACTAAGTAACAAGCATTAAATTGATTTCTTATGAATGAATTTAGTGTAAATCTTTTCACACATTCTTACGCTCCCGAGCTTGTGAGGAGTATTGGGTGTTGTTGGGAACATTCACAATAAGCTTAATGCGATATTTTAATCTAATTCTAAGAGCTTGTTTAGATTAGGTTAGCAAGGTTAGGATTAATCAAAGAGCTTGTTTTGATTGATTAATGTGGTGGATGGAAAGTGTTAGAGCTTGTTAACACTTTCAAGTACCAACTTAGATAAAATGAAACAAATGTCTTGTCATCTTTGATTCACATTTCTGGATTGTCATTCATAAAGTTGGAGTCCTTACAAAATCTGAACTTAATTCACGCCTTTAGTTGATTGCTTATGTTTTAATTGTTTGTTTAATCACTGCATTCTAAACCCCCCTCTCTTTACTATTGGTGACCATAGTACCTTGTGCAAAGAGGTATAGACCAATTGTCCCGTGTCTCTGTGGATCGACCCTACTTGCCTTGTACTACCTTTTAGTGCAATATAGTAGTGTTATTTTGGAGTATATCGTACCCCTATTATTTGTTGGGTCTGACACACCTAACACTACTTCATTAAAAAGGCACGAGAGGCGTTTTCTTCAAAACCTGCGATCGCAGCTTTGATACATGCGATCACATGTGCGTCGTTTTTTTGCTATTGGACGTATAAATAGACCCTGATAGCATTCCTGTAACCTAAGTTGGCGATTCCAGAGATACCAGACGACGAATATACGATTTTGGAGGTGTTTCTTCTCCAATTTCAACGATTTTTGAAGATCTGAAGACTGTGGATCATCTCCTTCAAGTAGATTAGTAAGATTAGTTGTTTGATATCTCTTTTCATTCGTTTTTATCAGTCTTTAGCCATGTCTGGCTAAAACCCTAGTTTTCAGTTCTGCAAAGACAAGTACTTTTCATGTGATTGATCATTAGATCTGGTTTTTGATTTGTGCTTCTATCTAGATTCTTCAGTTTTGTTCTTAATGAATGTTTGATTTTGATTCTTGTTAGTCTGATCACCTAGCTAGGGTTTTATCATTCCAGTTAATTAGTTATAGAATACCTAATTGTTCTTGTCAACTGATAAAAGTAACAAGTAATAAATCGGTTCTGTGTTTGGGATTTGACTTTATTATAAACTGTAAAAATCATATCTTTACGCTTCCGAGCCTGTGAGAAGTATTGGATATTGCTGGGAATTTTACATAGATTATAATGCAACTTTTCTGATCTTAATTAAGAGCTTGTTTGATTAGACAGTAAAAAGTTAAGGTTAATTGAAGAGCTTGTTTTGGTTAACTAAATAAGGTAAAAGAGAAATTACTAGAGCCTGTTAGTTTTTCTCAGTACCAGCTTAGATAGAACGCATCTCAAATAATCAGATCTGGATCAGTTGCAAGATTAGGAAAGTCGCAGCAGAACTGAAATCGTTTTTAATATTGATTTTCGTTTAATTTTAATATCACTGCATTTTTAGTTTTTAGTTTAACTCAAAATCCCCCTTTTATATTCTGTTTCTTGACTAGATGTGCCTGATGCAAAAAGGCATTGACTTTTAGGCCGTGTCCCTGAGGATTCGACCCTGCTTCCCGGTGCTATCTTTTTATTGCATTCCAAGCAGTGATAAATTTATTTGTTTAATATGTGCGCGACAGCGTGTTAACAGTACATCAGGGGATCGTGGCAAAGCAAAGGCGTGATCGTACAGCTCCTCACTTTTTATGACTTTGTTTATGGGATACTCTGATATGATACATATTGAAAACAAGTTTGTAATGGTTTATGGATTTGAAATGTTTAATTTAAAAGTTTAAATTTGGCATGATTTTTTTATGGGTGTTACAATTGCACGTGTTTCAACTGGTTCAAGTTTAAGGGCGAAGAAGACAAGACGCTAGATGATTTTAAAAAAATCTCGTTTTACACCTCCATTATTGGTTACATAATATAAAATCCCCTATTGTCGATATATGGATTTTTAATTATGATCGGAATCGCTAGCTAGAAAAATAAGATTGCAGAATGGAGTTTGATGAAGATAATGTTAGGCCGGAAGAAGAAGAAGAAGAAGAAGAAGAAGAAGATAGACTGAGCAAGTTGCCAGATGAGGTTATTCGTAATATCCTGTCTTGTATTGATATGAAATTTGGTGTTCAAACATGTTTGTTGTCAACAAGATGGAGGCTTGTCTGGACATCAATCCATTGTCTTAATTTCTCAAGACGGGAATTTGGTTGTTTTCCAAAGTTTTCCGAATTCGTGACCAATGTTTTATCTAAATGCGACCATCAAATGCAAGTGTCATCCATAAACCTACTACTTTTCCTTAGAGAAGCCTGTAAGGATTTAGTGAGAAAGATTGCAAATTATGCCTTCTATCACAATGTCCAATAACTAGAAGTCGGGGTAATTTCATTTTGCTCCATGAATTCCCTTCCTGCCTATTTAGCTCTCAGTCGTTGAAACATTTTACACTTGGTAACTGTTCTATTTCACCATGCATTACACCCACAAAACCTTGGTATTTTCCAGCTTTAACAACTTTGTATCTCAGTGACTTCATATTAGTATCTCATAAAACCACTAAGGACTCTCTACATGATAATATTTTCACCAAGTGTGTCAACTTAAAGAACCTCACTTTGTGCTGGTTCGATCTCGTGGGTGGTGTAGAGGTATTTGACATAGTAGCCACTCGACTTTCTAATCTCATTCTTATTCACGGAAGATATGTAAAAGTCATGAATATGATTGCACCCCAACTTGAGAATCTGACAATAACTGACACCTCATTGGAGTACTTGAATGCTCCATCAGGAGTTCCATCTTTGTGCTATAAGGGTGATCCTCCCCTGCAATTGTCTAAAGATCGATTTCACTCCCTAAACCAAGTCATTATATGTTTGGGTTGTTATCCACATTTTGGAGATGCTCGTAAGATTATTAACATTCTTCAAGAGCTCCGTAGTGCCTCATATCTAACACTTAATGTGGAAATCATTGAGGTAGCTAGGTATAAATGTTGATTTCGTTTCATTACGTACGTATATATTTTTATGTATATAATATATTACATGTGTGTAGTGTATTTCGTTATTCCGGATTTTTTATCGCACCTTCCATCACCTTTTGGCAACTTAATTTGCTTGAGTATAGACTCTCACATGAGTGAGGATTCCTACAAAGTAAGGATGTGTAGTGCAACTAGAAACTTTTTGTTTGACAACTCCCCTAACGCGATATTCACCATGGAATTACCCGAGGTACCACTTTTATAGTTGTATATTATGACTTTAAGTTTCCGTGTATCTTTTTTAATTAGTGTTGTTTTTGACATTTTTGTAAACTTTGTAGGAAACGCTTGGGCCCGCTTTTATGCCAACTAACTGGTGGAGGTATGTACGTAAGTACACTTTCAACCCATCATCTGACATTGTATATGATCGTCATGTATCAAGGAAGAACAAGAAGGATAAGAAGAAAAAGAAGAAGATGAAGAAGAAGTTATCACGTATGGATGTCGTCATGGTGATTCAGATGGCTTTCCGATCATATGTGATCCGTAGGTCCCAAGCCCTTTGTGCATTACGTGAGTTAGCTGTTGCAAAGGGGAAGTGCTTAAAGATCTCCCGGCGTAATGATCCAAAAGGAAACAACACGTATGGTATTTGTATTGTTAGTGCATTTTCTACTTCCATGTTATGTTAAGCTTGTAGTCTCGTATATCTATGGCTACATCGAGTCTAATATTGCTTTGTATATCCATTTTCATTTATTTCATCAATATGTAAAGCTCAAAGTGTTGGATTTTTATTCAAAATTAGTTTAATTTTAGTGACAAAATTGATATAATTAGCAACATAAGCATTTTATAAATTTGAATAAACTAAAACCATTTTATCCACCAATGATTATTTTCCAAAGCTTGGAAAGATTAAAACATAACCAAAAGATAAAAGAAATTACAACCTTTGAAGACTTTGGTTCCTTTTAGAAATTAAGAAGTTGATGAAGAATGTACAGTAGAACTCCACCTTAGTTAGAAACACCAACCATTCTTCAACTTGACATGGATGCTAGTCATTCGTATAATAATAATAATAGTCTTATGTCGTAACGCCAGTTCTATGGGTATAAGGAACGTTTAAATCTGACTTTGTATGAAGAAGTTACGATCCATTGAAGTTTTGTGTTATCCTAAATAATCTAAACAAAATTCGTAGTAATCGTAAAAGTGAGAGGGTGCATATAAAGAACGCCCAAATCTGACTTCATATGAGGAAATTATGATTTTTCAAAATTTCAGGGCAGCAGTGTGGGCACTGAAATCGAAATTAAAATAGGTTGATTATTAATCAAAACAATGTAAACGAAAGTTGAAGATCTAATGAATAGGAACCTGTCGATATAAAGACAGCCTAGAACGGAAATCGTATGAAAGAGTTATGATTTTTATACAGAGTTTAACAGTCTAAGTCCTATAAAAATATAAACTTAAAAATAAAATGAGAATTAGCCGACGGAGTCTAAACGAAAGTTGTAGTACTCGTCAATAGCTACGCGTAGATATAAAGAATGTCAAAAACGGATCACGTATGAGAAAGATATGATTTTTCAAAATTTTGAAATTCATAATTGTCGACACGCGCGCCCGGGTAAGTAGGTGCGGCACGCCTAGGTTCTAGAAAGTCGACGCGGCCCACCCGGATTTTGACACATGGCAGCAAGGCAAAGAAACAACGTCGCCAAAAGGCACGACGCGCCTCTCCAAAATTCCTATAAATAGGCTGGGAATTCAACCATTTTTCTCACACCTCAAGTCTCATTCTCTCTGAGACATTCTCCCTTCCTAAAATCCAATTTTTTTTTCGGACTTCTGAGCATTTTAGCGAAGCTCTGAGATATCGTAGGAGCCCGACGAAGAGAAGCTTTCGGGTCGGAGTTTTGCATACGACTTTCCCGTTTTTCGCTAGAATTTATGTAAGTTAAGCTACAGTAACTTATATTTATATTCATAGTCGTTATTATAAATCTATAAATAAGATTTATCAGTGATTCCAATCATAATATTGATTGATTTACTTACGGAATTGATGTTTATGCTAGATTTAGTGAGGTGTTTAAAGTAGGATTTCCAAACAGTATACTCTGTATACCAAACAGACCCTACCTCTTATATGATCTTACCTGACTGTTCCTTATCAGCTATAGATCAATATTCATTAGGATTATTGAAAAATCTAGGTTATCGTTATTATAGTCACAAGAAATATTAGCTATAGATCACACACACACACACACACACACACACACACACACACACATATATATATATATATATATATGACCGGGTAATACACAACTTCTTCTCCATAGCCAATTTTTTTGTTCAATTGATTTTGCTGTTGAATTCATACATACCTGAACTTTATAACTTTATGATGATAAAGTATGTTACCTGAACTTTATAACTTTATGATGATAAAGTATGTTTAATTATTTACATATTGTATGACAATTTATATGTTTTTATAATTATAACTTCATCCATCACTGTATAAAACAGTAGAGTAAAATGATTATTTTTTATCGGTCAGCACATTCAGTCAACATTCAGTCAGAAACAACTTGGTTTCTTACTTATTTAACATTTATTACCCAGACATATTTTTTTAATCTCAATTAACTATCAAATGGGACCTACATTACTAGTATTGAAAAATTAAAAAATAAAAGATGAATACAAACTTTAAAATAGTCTCATTTTTTACTTTTTTTTTTGTTTTTACCCATCCATCTTCAAGACTTCAACTGCTAGACCGTAACCTTATGGGAAAATGACTTGTCAGGGTAATCATCTTTATCGTTTTGTTCATATTTAGGTAACTTCTTTATTTTTGTACACATTTTACCATTTAACTTTTTATATATGTTCACATATTGCCATTGTCACCGGCTATAGCAGGTGACAATGGTAATATGTGAACAAATTAACAAGTTAAATGGTTAAATATGTCCAAAAAAAGAAAGTTTCTTAAATGTGAACAAAACGAAAAGTTAATTACCCTGATAAGTCATTTTCCCCACTTTTAATAGCGATTTTATTTTTCATATATGTTTGTATTATTTTTTCAAACGTTATTTATAAAATATCCATAGTTTCCTAAATATTAATTAAATATAGGTCAATTTTAAACTTTACTTTTTAATTAATAAATTTGTTTTTGTTTTGTGAATTATTTTATATAAACTCTTATAATTTTTTTCTTTTGTTTTTAAGCATATATAATATTTTTAAAGTAAATAGTATATAACTATAAAATTAAATAAATTAAATAGGTAACAATAAATATGGAGGATCTTTTAAAAAAGTAAAAAGAAAATATTACATAGCAAATAAAAAACAAATAAAAATCTATATAATGTAAATATTTTAAAATTATTCCACCTTTTTAATACTTTTTAATTAGAAGTTTATAAAATTTTAATTTTTTAATACAACGTTTTAAACTAGTAAATAACGAAAGTATTTTAAAATGATATAAAAAAATATTAAATTGTTATATAAAATCTGTGAAATACTTTAAAAATATTGTAAAAGAAAGTTTAGAAATAAATGTATGAAAGTTATAAAAAAAGTTGTATGAAAATGTAAAAAAAAATAAAAAATAAAGTTCAAAACTTATAAGAAAATTTTAAAACATTTATAAAATATTTGGTTTAAAATCACTTGTATTAAAGTTATATAAAAATATAAAAAAATTATAAGCAAAGATTAAAACATTGTATTAGAAAAACCTATAAGAAAAAATATCATAAAAATATTGTAAGAAATTATAAAAATTCTTAAGAAATTTATAAAAAAAATTGTTAATATTTAGACAGTTTTTTTTACACATTTGACCATTTAATTTTTTAAATGTGTTCACAAATGTGTAAAAAAAAAATAAAAAAATAAAAAAATAAAAAAATAAAAAAAAATTGAAGTTACTTAAAGTAAACAAAGACTAAAAGGTCATTTTCCCTGACCCTAACAAAGATGTCTGCAAACCCTAACCCTGACCGCCCTCTTCCACCGAACAACTCCGGCTACCAACACAAATACGATGCTGAAGGAGTAAAGCCACATGACGTTGACTCTGAACCCGTCAACGAGCTCCGTCGGGTTTCGAGCTTCCAGTCCTTCCGTAAGTTGACCTTTGCTAGCCCCAACTTCTACGTCCCCAGTTTTGGGATGATGTTCAACATTCTTTCTGAAATGAACAATAAGATGTGTTCCTCAAGTGGATTTGGTGAGAATGGTTATGTCTGCGATTGGATACCCCATGTATCTAACATCGTCTTCTCTGTTTTAGCTTACGTCCAAACCTTCCGTGCTCAGGGCATTGCTCACCATCTTGAGCATTCCCAACGAACTTGGTTGGATAGATTCATGAGCTCTTTCCCTCTGGATACCATTATCATTCCAGGTCCCTTGGTCCCCTTCTTCCGTTCCATCTCTGTCAGTTCCCCAGGCACTGGAAACTTCTGGGATGTCTTTCCCGCCATCCCTGTTCTCTCGATTAGCGAGGAGTCACTGTATAACCTGAATATTAAGCCCGACTCCAACGTGGAATACTTTGAAGGCCTAACCATGATGCTCCCCAATCTTCCACTCATGATCGATCAATTTTTTCATTTAATGTTGTACTTATTGGCTGATACCACCGAAGTTCCCCGGAAATACTCACAATACGAGCAGCTTCGGAAGATCTTCGGAGTTTCACGCCCTGCTAATGGAAGCCCATTGCTTCCCCACTTCAACAGGTTACTTAAATCTGTTGGATTCTGGAGTCGCCCAGCAGCCTCCGATGGATTGATGGCGAGATACGCATCCCGAATAAGTAGTGCTCAATATTTCCCTCATCCCTTCACCTACGACACCGAACACGCTCCTATTGCCGCCGATGCCACCACTGACCCGCCTATTGACCGGTGGACTCGTATTACTGATTTCTGCAGCTATGCCCATATGGATAAGTGGTTGTATTGGTTCGATATTTTCCTCGGTGGAATGCATACCTTCAACAGCCATTGGAAAGGAAACTGTTCGTTAGGCAGTCTCCACCCTAACACCTCAACCGCCAGCCTGATCCTCTTCAAACAGGTATCGATCCGCGAGTTCCCGGACCGCAGTACTTCAATCTTCGGGCCAGGTACTAGACGGTTGAACCACGCTTCCCACTACTTGGAGTATGATTCCAAGGCAACTTCTACCTGTCCCTACCTGGAACTCGATGATAAGCAGGACGCTCAAATCGCACAACTCAACATCCTCTGTGACGACTACACTAACGACGGCCGCCGCATCGGTGATGTTTGAGTTACTCGCTTCGGCAATTATTGGTCCGTCACCCCGGACTTTTGTGAAACTAATCGGATAAACTTGACTTGGCATCTTCAGTCGGTGGCCATCTCCCCTCACTACTTTACAGAGTAGCTTTTATTACTCTTTCGTCTTCTTTATCTTTGTTGAAGAATCGCCTCTAGCAGTACGTTACAGGTACGTGTTAACTTTTTGCTTCAATTTTATTTTTCTCTATCGGGTTAGGATGCAATGAAAATTCTGAGTGCTGGAATTGTATTTGTGTAAACAGTCTGTATATGTTTTATGTTTGATGTTTGTGTTGTTAAACCTATCTCAATAATTAATACGAATGATTAACATA